GGAAAGAGAGGCACAGAACTGCAGCAATCAGTAGGAAGGTGCAGCCTGAACAGAGTCAGGAAGCCCTGGTTACTTGTCAGGTCTGCTGTACATCGACAGTTCATCCATTGGCAATATCTTGGACACCAGTGTTCCTGGAAGGACTTGATACCGGGAGGTAAGTTTCAGTCTCATACATCTCATATGACTAGTTTTGCTAGGGACAACATTTTGCAGTCATTTTTTCCTTTCTGCAAGGAGTATGGGCACTAGCAGAGTACAATGATATGGAAAAGATACATGATCAGGACCCAAACACTGGGGACATAGAGTGTGCTGATCAGTAATGGACATTTTGGGGTCATATCTCCAGATATGATGTGACAGAGTGCTGAGGGTTTGCACTTGAGTCAGCACTCTGGTCACTATTAGTACTAATTTGGTTCCTCACAGAAGGCCTAATTGGACAGAGGTGTACCTGATTACGAGGTCAGATTGGGGCTAGTGAGTCAAGGAACCAATCATTCCATTAACAGGGAAACTGTATAAAAGGACATGGGCAGGAGCTCTTTGAGGGGAACAGACAGAGAAAGAAACTTGGGTGACCAGATATTTGGAGCTTTATCTTATACGGGTACCTGTTACCCCCCACCCCCTGTCCTGATTTTTCACCCTTGCTGTCTGGTCACGCTAGGAGAAACAGAAAGACAAAAAGCTAGGAGAGCCTGACCAAGTGAGGTCTCTGAGTGGAAACGCCTTAGCCCTGACTTTTGGAGAAGAGTTTAGAAAGTTGAGGTACAATATAAAGGTGCTATGTATTGGTAGGGGGATTAAATAGACTATATGTTGGCGCTTACAAGCAAGAAAGTCTCAACGCGGTCTGTGTTTGTGGAAGATGTGGGGGTGCAACACCCCTCTCTGTCACAGCTGGGGGCTCATCAGGGATTTCCCTGTTATCTATGCAAATGGAGAGCTTGTTGGAGAAGCCGGTGTAGAGGTTTTGGCAATCTGGGTGATGGAGGGAACACTGAAATGGATGGTGAAGCAGCAAAGAGAAGTGTAGAACAGGGGTTCTCAACCTTTCTGTTTCTGAGCCTCCCCCCACCCTCAACATACTACAAATACTCCATGGCCCAGTTCCAGGCCTCTGCCCTGCCAGGCATCAGAGTTTGGGGCTCCTGGCTCTGGTTTTTAACCTCATGGGGTGCAGAGGCTCGGGGCTTTAGTGCAGGTGCTGGGCCTCAGGGCTCCAGCGTGGCTGGGCTCAGAGCTTCAGCTTTCTGCCCTAAGCCCCAGTTAGTCTAATGCCAGCCCTGCTTAGCGGACTCCCTAAAACCGGCCCGGTTGAGAACTGCTGGTGTAGAAGACCCCACAGACCTTCCAACAA